CGCCCGCGGGGCTCGGCGAGCTCGACACGGTGAATCCGTTTGGCACCTTCACCGAGCAGGAGGCGCGCCGGCTCGGCGTCCCTTGGGAGGGGGTCGGCGAGGCCGCCGAGGCGGACGACAGCGACACGCCGGCGTACAGCCTGCGCGAGAAGAGCGGCAAGACCGCCGCCGTCGAGGTCAGAGAGGTGTCTCCGTAGAGAGTTGCCTATATCCGAAATTCTTTTTTTAAGACCGAGGACTTAGTCTCTATCTCCAGCACCGCACGCTATTTAAGCCGCCGGCTTCGCCTGCTGGCACACCCACCATGACTACTCCAGTGAAACTAGCAGGCTCCCCAGCCGAGAAAGACGCCGTCGCCGACGCCGTGTTCCGCTTCTGCCTCGCCGTCGACACCCGCGACCCAGACCTCTTCGACTCCAGCTTCACCGACGACGCCACCATCGAGCTGCTCGGCGAGAAGGGCACCGGCCTCCAGGCCGTGCGCGACCTGTGCTACAACCGCGTCGCCCCGCTCGACACCACCCACCTCGTGTCCAACTTCCGTGTCAACGTCGAGGGCTCCACGGCCAGCCTCACCGCCGTCTCGTACGCGCAGCACTTTGGCAAGGGCAAGGGCATGGCCCCAGACTCCAAGTTCCTGCTCTCGGGCGGCATCCACCGCGCGCAGCTCGTCCACGACGCAGCCTCCGGCCTGTGGAAGATCCGCAGCCTCGCGATCGACGTCCACTGGACCGACGGCGACTTCTCTGTGTTCCAGGACAAATAGGAAAATACATTTCTTTAAACTATTTATTGTTGTTCACCACAACGAGCTCGTCCCACGGCGCCTTGCCGTTGGCCACGTCGGCGGCCTCGGCGTACTGGTCGATAGGGTACTTCCGGACGCTGACGTGGTCCATCTTGAAGATGCCGTTCTCGACCATCTTCAGGAAGTCCTTGGCCTCCTGGCGCGAGTACATGAACTTGCCCTTGATGGTCAGGTCCTTGGCGACCACGAGGCCGTACGGGATGCTCAGGGTGGCGAACACAAAGCCCGAGAGGATGACTCTGCCGCCGAACCTGAGCGCGCCGATCGCCGCGTCCAGGTACACCGGGCCGGCCGCGCCGCTAGGCGTGTAGTCCATGTACGCGTCGAGCGGGCCGAGCTTCTGCAGCGTGGCGGCGTCGGCCTCCTTGTCGCCCGTCAGCAGCACAGGCTGCACGTTGCTGTAGTGCGACGCGAGCTTCTCGAGCGTGGCCTTGTCTCTGCCGAGCGCCAGGACCTTGGCGCCCATCGAGGCCGCCACCGAGACCGCGCCGCTGCTGAACCGGCCCGTGCTAGGGCC